GGGCAGGCCCGCGATTCTGCGCCCGCGATTTCGCCCGCGCTTTCACCGACGCGATTGCGGACGCCATTTTACCCGCGATTTCCGGCGCGATTTCGGACGCGATTTGGCCGGCGGTTTTCGGCCACGATCCCGCGCCCCCTTGCAAGGCCATGCGAAACCACCCGCGATTTTGAGCGCGTTTTTTTTCCCCATTGATTTCATTGCCAGAAAAGTAGCGGTCAAAAAAATGCGCCCGCGGAAGGGGGGCCAAACAAGCACGCAAAATCGCGGCCAACAAAATGCCCCACGTCGTTGTCAAACGGGAAGTGGGGGAAGGGCGCCGCGGAAAGGCGGCGGGGGGGTCGGGGGGGCCAGCGGCCGCCGCGCCCGCGGCGGGCCCCGCGAGCGCAATTCCCCAGGAGCAGAGTTTGTTCAACTTGCGCGGGCATGGGGCCCAGCCGCTTCCGGCGCCCCGCCAATTCCCCACGCGGCGCTCGTGCTCGAGCGTTTCTCCTTCGCGCCGGGCCTCCAAAGTGGCCCTTTCCCGTGGTCCGTCGGCCCCGCGCCGGCGCGTTCCATCGCAAATCAGTTTGGGGGGATTCTCCCGCGCAAGCTATCGGCCGCGCGGCTGGGGCAGCGCCTGGCCTTTCGACGGCTGCGCGCGCGCGCCGATTCCGCCTGCGCTTCGAAAGCGGCTCGCGCCCAAATTCGCGCGGTCGCTATGCCCGACGATTGCGGAATGAAGCATCATCGCGGTGATGAGTTCCATGGCGGTCACGCGGCGGTCTGGCTCGGGGGGCGCGTTGGTCGCGCCTCCGCGGCTCGCCCGGCGCAGTTCAATGGCGAGGGCAGGCGGCGCGCGGCGATTCGATGGCGCGCGGGCGTTCCATGGTGATTCCCCGCGGTTTAGCCCGAGGCAAGCAACATGTTGGAACAAGATTTGTTGGACGATGTCGTTCATTGCAGAATGCTTCAGAACAGCGTCGCGATAGGGGCCATTGTTCCACCGGGTGGCAAACAAGGACCCCCCCGACCCTTCGTCGCTGAGAACATCATGTTTTCCAGACAAATGCACTGGCATGCGCCGGCGTCCTGCTTTCCGCTCTGCCATCTCGAAAGCTTCTGCGAGATCTTGCGGGGAAGGAACGCGACCGAATCTGAATTTGACGGAGTGAACTGCAGCTGAAATGTCGCTCCTGGAACGACGCGCCACCGGCGAAGCCGCCCGCTGTCCAGCGCAACAACTGGCTTGACGACCCAGAGCTCTTTGTGGTTAGTTGCGTCTGAATCCTCCGCGAGCAGACTAAATTCTTCATCTCAGACGCCGGCGCGGACAATGCCCGCGCCGCAGAGGTGGCAAGACCACCCGTGGAACTTGGGCGCGCCCGTTTCAACTGCGCGGGCAACCCCAGACGCGGTCGCAGCGCGCCAATTCGTTAAGTCTTCTGGCTTGGGCCCCCGCCTCGACAGAGAGCCGACTGCGGAGTGGAACGGCCGGGCGGGAATCACGTCCAATGCCTGGGCCCACCGATGAATGTGGACTCAGCAGTCGGGCGCCAATTGGAGAAGGGGATCCGCCGTGGGGGGCTGTCAGCCCAGATGGCATGCGCATTCGACGAATTCGGAAGAGACCAAATGTGGTGAAGATGCGCGGCCGCGGAGACAGACCTCGCTGACGCGCGGCGCGAGCTCCGCGGCCGAGGCCAAAGCGCGCGCCCGGAGCTCTGCAATGGTGTTCGCTTGTAGGACGGCCCGGAACAGCCTAACGCACCTGTAGCACTTCTTCCTTTCGACCGGAAGCTCGTTGCGCGACGTGTCGAGTATCCAGCCTGCCCAAGTCTGCCTTTGCGATGGCTCCCGGAAGCCAGATGATTTGCTGCTGACCAGAATGCCGACGCGCGGGGAGAAGCGCGCTGATGCTGCTAGTTTGGCAGCGGCGCCTTGCGCGTGCGACCCGCTGCGCAGAAGATCGCCCACGAAATCCGCGAGGCACATGGCTTCGTGCAGCAACGACAAGCGCAATATTTCTTCTGCGTTTGGGCCATTACTTCGCGGGGCAGGTTTGGGGCCCGTTGGCGCGTGCAAGTATCGCCCGTGGCGTCGACGCCCTGGGGGCCAGAACCCGAATTTGAGCACGTCGTCTGCGCGGGTCTTCCAGTTGAAGGAAAGCGCCAGCAAGGTCCGACGCAAAAAAGCCAACTGGCAGGAGATATTCTGGATCAGGCAAGATCGATTGTACCGCGCTGAACTGGGGCATCTTGAGCGGAGTCATTGACCCCGCTGCGAGAGAAGTCCACGATGCGTCGGGACTTGAGTTTGTCGAACGCGCAATTAGATATGACATTATGCCGCCCAGTAAGGACAATACCGCAAGGGTTCACGCGCAGACCTGCAGGGGCCGAGCCCCGAGGAAAGATGCGAACTTGCCCGAGGCGTTCTTAACGGTTCCATTCGTGCTCAGCGAACTCGACATTGTCAGCCAAGGACTTATAGTTGGGGAAATAGCGGCCGGGGGCTGGTTTCGAGAAACTCAGAAGCCCGCCAGACCCCCACCAGCGCAGGAAGTCGGGAAGGGCGCTTAAGTCGCGTAGCGCTTGGAGATTCAAGCGGAGTCCGTCTGGCGACAAATACTTGGCATCCGCGTCCAGGATCTCGCGGCGCAGCTCTGCCACAGAAGTTGCCATGGATTAAGCCAAGGTAAAGCCTGCAGCAACGCGGGCACTGACTGGCTCGCGCGCATGAGCCAGAAATTAGCGCTACGGGCGCGCTGTCAGCGCTGCGCGACGTGCCCGAGGAAAAACACGGGGAGCGGAACGCAACAACCGTCCTGCCATTGACAGGCGAACATGTTCTGTAAATCCACTGGCAGCGCGGGGGAACGACTCCCGGACCATCGAACGCACTTGATGCGCCGATGTTTGCCTGCGCCAGATGCGGCCGCTGATCGGCCCAAATTTTTCAGTCCCTGAATGGCTTGTCGATCGCACACTGGCAGCGCGGGGGCGTGCCGCCCCAGACCAGCGATAACACGCTGAACGCGACTGCTGGCAATCTCATTGAGAACGGCCACTGAGCGGCCACATATTACCCTGACCCCTGAGTGGCCAGACAGCCGCGCACTGGCAGCGCGGGGACGTGAGACCCCGTCCAGCATGACGCACTGAACGCGACTGCTGGCTGCCTGCGCCGAGACGGCCGCTGAGTGGCTACGAGCAGGTCATATGACGACGTTGGGCAGGTTCAGATCTCCGAATTTCCGAAAGGCTTCGCCCTCCTCCAATTCGTGCCATTTCCCCACTGTCCCATTGTCCCATTGTCCTATGTCCTACCAGTGTCCACCACTGTCCCACTGTCCCCACCAGTGTCCTGCTGTCCCCACTGTCCCATTGTCCCCGCCGCTGTCCCACTGAGCTGTCCCACTGTACCCACCACTGTCCCAACTGTCCCACCAGTGTCCCCACTGTACCTCTGTCCCATTGTCCCACCACCGTCCTCGCCACCAGCCTCACCACCCCCACCATCACCGTCTCCACCACTGTCCCACTGTCCCCGCTGTTCCCACCATTGCCCCCGCTGTCCCCGTCAGTGCCCCCACCAGTGTCTCACTGTCCCCACCAGTGTCCCACCGCGGTCCCGCTCTCCCCATTGCCCCCGCTCTGCCAACCACTGTCCCACTGTCCCTACGGTTCACCCACTGCCCCCGCTTCTGTCCCACTGTGCTGTCCCACTGTCCCCACCACTGTCCCACTGTCCCTACCACTGTCCCCACTGTACCACTGTCCCACCACCACCGTCCCCACCGCTGCCTTCACCATTGTCCCCACCACTACCGCCCCCACCACTGCCCCAGTGCCCCCACACCACTGTCCCGCTGTCCCCTCTGTCCCCGCCATCACCGCCCCCACCGCTGTCCCACTGTCCGCACCCCTGTCCCACTGTCCCCACCACTGTCCCCACCACTGTCCCAGTATCCCCACCACTGTCCAACTGTCCCGAGGAGCAGGAATCGTTTGCCGGCGGCGAGGGGGGGAGGGGGAGGATTCGAACCGGTAGTGGCCCCCTCCCTTTTCATGATAGAGTGGGGGGGGGTCGGGTCGAACCAGTAGTGGCCCCCCCTGTTTTCCGCCAGCAGCGGTAGAACACGCTCTTTCGGAGGGCGAGGACGAGGATGAGGAGGAGGAGGAGGAGGAGGAGGAGGAGCAGGAGGAGCAGGAGGAGCAGGAAGAGGAGGAGGAGGAGGAGGAGGAGGAGGGGGAGGGGGAGGGGGAGGAGGACAAGCTAGGTGCGCTCGCGTCATATCTGACATCGTACCCCTCCCTCCCATCCCTTACCATGGCGTAGATCCCCTCTCTACTCGCACAGTCGGATGTCGAGCAGGGCAATGATCCCGAAAGGGTACGCGATGCATTGTAGAGCACGGCGTGGCACGGCGTAGAAGAGCACCGCGAAGCGTAGTATCAACCTAGCATTGCATTGCATGCCGTGGCATGGCACGGGAAATGACGCCAGCGCTGCAGCAAAAGCACGAGCCGGAACGAGCGGAAGCGCGGAAATGAGGCCAGCGCTGCAGCGGGAGCACGATTCGGAACGAGCGGAAGCACGAAAATGAGGCCGGCGCATCAGCGAGATCAGCATTTTGGAAAAACACGCAGGCGATAACCCAACTCCGGGGAATCTTGTGTTTAAAAAAACAGTGCGCGCGGGGGAGGGCTAAAATGTTCAAACCGTCATCAGGGGAAGAGGGAGAGTAGTATTCATATTGAGTAGTTGTGGAGGAGTAGAAGGAGGATCAGGAGGAGGAGGAGGAGGAGGCGGAGGAGGAGGAGGAGGAAAAAGGGGGAAGAGGAGGAAGAGGTGGAATGGAAGTGCGAGGATGAGGATCGGCGGGAGGGTTTTTTCCTGTGATGCCATCAGCCTCACGATTCTCCTCTGTCTGACTGCTGTTCGTCGGAAGGAGGAGGAGGAGGAGGAGGAGGAGGAGGAACAAAAACATGCAATGAGAAGGGACGCGGCCGGCGCAGGGCGGCGGCGGCCTCTTCGGCGTGGAGGCGTCTGCGGCGGCGCCGCCACCGGCGGCAGCTGGGCCATTCGACGGCGAGCCCGAGGCCTGGAAGGAGGAGGAGGAGGAGGAGGAGGAGGAGGAGGAGGCGGAGGTGGGGAATAAAGAGGAGGACGGTAGGATGACGAGGAGGGTGAGTTGAGACAAGGGTAGTTCGCCCTGGGGGGGGCCCTCGTCGCCACGGTTTGACACAGCTCGGAAAATTAGTACGTTTGGACTCCAGGTGGGGTCGGGGGGCAGATTTTGAGTTGCCTTTGTCTCAATTCGCCCTGCTGCGATAGGAGGACGAGGGGGAGGGGCAGGACGGGGGTGAGAGGGAGGAGTAGTGAGGAGGGATGGGGGAGGAGGGAGGTGGACGAAGCGGAGTTCAATGGAGGAGGAGGAGCAGGAGCAGGAGCAGGAGCACGAGCAGGAGCAGGAGCAGGAGCAGGAGCAGGAGGAGGAGGAGCAGAAGGGCAAGGAAGGGGAGGAGAAGGAGGAGGTGGAGGAGGAGGCGGAGGAGGAGCGCCAGGAGGAGGAGAAGCGCCAGGAGGAGAAGGACACACAACAGGAGGAGGGGGGGTCGAGGGACAGGGAGATGTCGCCGAAGCCCCTCGCGCGGAGGTTGCCACGGCAGCGCCGGCGCACGGCGTCAGCGGTCTGTTCGGCGCAGAGCCAGCCCCCGCACCGCTGCCGGTCGCGGCTCCTGCTGGCCCTTTCGACAGTGAGCCCGAGGCCCGCTGGATCGCGGCTCTGGCGGATGCCATGTCCGAGGGGATGCCGTGTCAGAGGGCAGGTTGGCTGGGCCAGAGGGCAGCCAAGACGCGTTCACGATGTTGCATTGCACGCCTCCTGTTCTAATGCCCCGAGAAGCAGCGTCGTAAGGATGATAATGTTGAGCAGGAGGGAGTGGGGGAGAACGGGGGAACAGGGGCAAGAGGATGCTGGAGCAGGTGGATGGGGTGGACCAAGGATAACGCAGGATGCATCAACGATGCTGCAGTACATCTTTCCGTCCCGAGCACCCTCATACGTTCTACAGGCATTCCTAATTTATTGCATACGGGTAGCGCCCCCTTGAATGGCGAGCTCCAGATTGGCTTGCTATGAAGCCAAGGGCCGATCATTAGCCGAGAACTTCGTTGTGAAGAAGTTGTGTCCTGTATTCTCTTAGCTATGAAACGTATGAGATAATAAAGCCATGAAGCCCTCGAAGCGTGTGGCTTATGCGAAATCCTGGATATCGAGTTCTAGGTATTGAGGACGTGTTTTGTAATATATGGTTGTGGTGAACAGGGTTATGGTGGTGGAGATGGCGATGACGTCGGCGCTTATGATGTTGATGGCGAGGTGTACGATGCTGATGATCATGGTGATGATGATGCTGATGGTGATTCTGATGATGATGACGATGCAGATGATGATGACACTGATGATGCTGACGATGACGATGTCGATGACGATGCCGATGCCGAGTATGATGATGATGATGATTATGATGATGATGATGATGATGATGATGATGATGACACGTATGAGGATGTTGGTGCTAATGCTGATGATGATGGGGATGGGAATGAGGATGGTGATTGTGATGAAGATGCGGCTGATCATGGTGATGATGGTGACGACGATGATGATGATGATGACGATGATGATGATGGTGATGATGATGACGATGTCGATGATGGTGATGATCATTAGGGTATATGTATGAATATGATGTTGCTGGCGGTGATACTAATAGTCATAATGATGATGGCGATGGTGGCTGATGATGATGCGGATGATGGCGGTGGTAGTGGTGGTTATGATGATGCTGATGACAATGATGATGCTGATGATGGTGAAGGTGAAGATGATGATGCTGATGATGATGTTGATGATGATGCTGATCATGATGCTGATGATGATGCTGCTGCTGATGATGATGATGATGATGCTGCTGCTGATGATGATGATGATGATGATGATGATGATGCGATGCAGGAGGAGGAGGAGAAGGAGGAGGACGAGGAGGATGAAGGGGAGGATGAGGATTCTGATGAGGATGAGGATCTGCCCTCCCCCCGCCCCGCCCTCCCCCCTGATACATCCTCTTCCCTCCCCTCTCCCGATGCGTCTTGACGTTCGCCCCCCGAGACAAGGCGCGGGGGGGAACATATAGGGGTCTCGGGGCAGGAGGAGGAAATGGAGGAGGAGGAGGCTGAATAGGAGGATGAGCAGGAGGAGAAGGACGAGGAGGAGGAGGAGGGGGAGGAGGACCACGGGTAAACCCAAGACGCATGACAGGTGCTGCAATACACCCTCGCCCCAAGCTCCCTCGTCATAGGTTCCCGCAATAATTCATGTTCATTGCGGGAGGCGCCCCGTTGAATGACAAATGTTTGAGAATGCCCAGTCGTATCAACTGGGCAGTTTGGGCCTGCAACGTGCTGCTTGTTGCGTCCTGACAATTCTAAGTTGCGCCAGAGCGCCAGGCGCGGGACCTCAACACCGCGAATCAACGCGACTCTTGCGCCCTGACAATCGTAATTCTTGGCAGAGCAGTAGTCCTGGGACTTCAACCCTATGTTTGCAGTATTTTGAAACGACTGTGTGCGGCGCTAAGGCGAGAGCTACATTTTGAAAAGGAGCTGCCTTCCCATCTTGAAACGGCTGCAAACTTTTGAGACAAATGTACGCGGCGCCATGGCGATTACCTCGTTTTGAACACCAACCGCCATCCATACCTGAACAACTCTTCAAATTTCAAGCTTCGGGATCGTGCATACATGGTGAGGAAGTCTCAGGCAAAACGCCCGGCCCTCCCTACCGACGCGTCTGGGGGTGCGACACGGGGGAGTTAGTCATAATCACAAAGTATGGAGGAGGAGGAGGAGGAGGAGGAGGAGGAGGAGGAGAAGTATCGGGAGGAGGAGGAGTAGAAAGAGGAGGAGGAGGCGGAGGAGTAGGACGAGGAGGAGGAGGAGGCGGAGGAGGAGGAGGCGGAGGAGGAAGAGGTGGAAGGGAGGAGGAAGAGGTGGAAGGGAAATACGAGGATGAGGATCGGGAAGGTTTTTCCTGTGAGGCCATCAGCCTCACGATTCTTCTCTGTCTGACTGCTGCTCGTCGGGAGGAGGAGGGGGAGGAGGAGGAGGAGGAGGAGGAGGAGGAGGAGGAGGAGCGCGGCGGCGGCGGCCTCTTCGGCGCGGAGGCGTCTGCGGCGGCGCCGCCGCTGGCGGCAGCTGGGCCATTCGACGGCGAGCCCGAGGCCTGGAAGGAGGAGGAGGAGGAGGAGGAGGAGGTGGGGAATAAAGATGAGGACGGTAGGATGACGAGGAGGGTGAGTTGAGACAAGGGTAGTTCGCCCTGGGGGGGGCCCTCGTCGCCACGGTTGGACACAGCTCGGAAAACTGGTGCGTTTGGACTCCAGGAGGGGTCCAGGGGCAGATTTTGAGTTGCCTTTGTCTCAATTCGCCCTGCTGCGATAGGAGGACGAGGGGGAGGGGCAGGAGGGGGGTGAGAGGGAGGAGTAGTGAGGAGGGATGTGGGAGAAGGGGGGTGGACGAAGCGGAGTTCGATGGAGGAGGAGGAGGAGGAGCAGGAGCAGGAGCAGGAGCAGGAGCAGGAGGAGGAGCAGGAGGAGGAGCAGGAGGGAAAGGAGGGGGAGGAGGAGGAGGAGGAGGAGGAGGAGGAGGAGGAGGAGGAGGTGGAGGAGGAGGCGGAGGAGGAGCGCCAGTAGGAGAAGGACACATCAGGATGAGGGGGTCGAGGAACAGGGGGATGTCGCCGAAGCCCCTCGCGCGGAGGCTGCCACAGCAGCGCTGGCGCACGGCGTCAGCGGTCTGTTCGGCGCAGAGCCAGCCTCCGCAACGCCGCCGGTCGCGGCTCTTGCTGGCCCTTTCGACAGTGAGCCCGAGGCCCGCTGGATCGCGGCTCTGGCGGATGCCATGTCCGAAGGGATGCCGGGTCAGAGGGCAGGTTGGCTGGGCCAGAGTGCAGCCAAGACGCGTTCACGATGTTGCATTGCACGCCCAAAGAAGCAGCGTCGTAAGGATGATAATGTTGAGCAGGAGAGAGGGGGATAACGGGGGAGCAGGGGCAAGTGGATGCTGGAGCAGGTGGATGGGGTGGACCAAGGATAATGCAGGATGCATCAACGATTCTGCAGTACATCTTTCCGTCCCGAGTACACTCATACGTTCTACAGGCATTCCTTATGTATTGCATACGGGTAGAGCCCCCCTTGAATGGCGAGCTCCATATTGGCTTGCTACGAAGCCAAGGGCAGATCATTCGCCGAGAACTTGTGCGAACTCGTGGATATCGAGTTCTAGGTATTGAGGACGTGTATTGTAAGATATGGTTGTGGTGAACATGGTTATGGTGGTGGAGATGGCGATGACGTCGACGCGTATGATGTTGATGGCGAGGCGTACGATGCTGATGATGATGGTGGTGCTGATGATGATGATAATTCTGATGATGATGACGATGCAGGTGATGATGACACTGATGATGCTGTCGATCACGATGTCGATGACGATGTCGATGCCGAGTATGATGATAATGTTGATACGTATGATGATGTTGATGTTGATGCTCATGATGATGGGGATGGGAATGGGGATGGGGATGGGGATTGTGATAAATATGCTGCTGATGATGGTGATGATGGTGACGACGACGATGATGATGATGACGATGATGATGCTGATGACGATTTCGATGATGGTGATGATCATTAAGGTACATGTAGGAATATGATGCTGCTGGCGGTGGTAGTAATATTCAGAATGATGATGGTGATGGTGACCGTGATGATGATGATGAACGTGATGATGATGATGGTGATCGTGGTGGTTATGATGATGCTGATGACGACGATGATGATGGTGATGGTGATGGTGATGGTGTTGATGATGGTGATGATGATGATGATTTTGCTGCTGCTGATGATGATAGTGCTGGTGATGATGGTGGTGGTAATGGTTATGATGATGATGCTGATGACGACGATGATGATGTTGATAGAGATGATGATGGCCGTGATATTGATGATCATGATGATGGTGATGGTGATGGTGATGATGATGGTGATGGTGATGCTGCTGCTGATGATGATGATGACGATGATGATGAGGATGATGGTGATGGTGATGATGATGATGATGGTGATGATGATGATGATGAGATGGAGGAAGAGGAGGAGGAGGAGGAGATGGAGGACGAAGAGGATGGATGGGGAGGATGAGGATTCTGATGAGGATGAGGATCTGCCCTCCCCCCTGCCCTGCCCCTCCCCCCTTGATACATCCTCTTCCCTCCCCTCTCCCGATGCGTTTTGACGTTCGCCCCCCGAGACGAGGCGCGGGGGGGGGGAACATGTAGGGGTCTCGGGGCAGGAGGAGGAAAAGGAGGAGGAGGAATAGGAGGAGGAGCAGGAGGAGAAGGAGGAGGAGGAGGAGGTGGACCACTGGTACACCCAAGACGCATGACAGGTGATGCAATACACCCTCGCTCCAAGTTCCCTCGTCATAGGTCCCCGCAATAATTCATGTTCATTGCGGGAGGCGCCCCGTTGAATGACAAATGTCTGAGAATGCCCAGTCGTATCAACTGGGCAGTCTGGGCCTGCAACGCCGCGAAGCAACGTGCTGCTTGTTGCGTCCTGACAATTCTAAGTTGCGCCAGAGCGCCAGGCGCGGGACTTCAACACCGCGAATCAACGCGACTCTTGCGCCCTGACAATCGTATTTCTTAGCAGACAGAGCAGTAGTCCTGGGACTTCAACCCTATGTTCGCAGTCTTTTGAAACGACTGTGCGCGGCGCTAAGGCGAGAGCTACATTTTGAAAAGGAACCGCCTTCCACCCTTGAAACTGCTGCAAACTTTTGAGACACATGCGCGCGGTGCCATTGCGATAGCCTCGTTTTGAACACCAGCCGCCATCCATACCTGAACAAGTCTTCCAAATTTGAAGCTTCGGGATCGTGCATACATGGTGAGGAAGTCTCAGGCGAAACGCCCGGCCCTCCCTACCGACGCGTCTGGGGGTGCGACAGGGGGGAGTTAGTCATAATCACAAAATATGATGGAGCAGGACGAGGATAAGTACCGGGAGCAGGAGGAGTAGAAGGAGGAGGAGGAGGAGGCGGAGGAGGAAGAGGTGGAAGGGAGGAGGAGGAAGAGGTGGAAGGGAAATGCGAGGATGAGGATCGGTACGGTTTTTCCTGTGTCGCCATCAGCCTCACGATTCTTCTCTGTCTGACTCCTGCTCGTCGGGAAGGGGAGGAGGAGGAGGAGGAGGAGGAGGAGGAGGAGGAGCGCGGCCGGCGCGGCGGCGGCGGCCTCTTCGGCGCGGAGGCGTCTGCGGCGGCGCCGCCGCTGGCGGCAGCTGGGCCATTCGACGGCGAGCCCGAGGCCTGGAAGGAGGAGGAGGAGGAGGAGGCGGAGGAGGAGGAGGCGGAGGTGGGGAATAAAGATGAGGACGGTAGGATGACGAGGAGGGTGAGTTGAGACAAGGGTAGTTCGCCCTGGGGGGGGGCCCTCGTCGCCACGGTTGGACACAGCTCGGAAAACTGGTGCGTTTGGACTCCAGGAGGGGTCCAGGGGCAGATTTTGAGTTGCCTTTGTGTCAATTCGCCCTGCTGCGATAGGAGGACGAAGGGGAGGGGCAGGAGGGGAGTGAGAGGGAGGAGTAGTGAGGAGGGATGGGGGAGGAGGGGGGTGGACGAAGCGGAGTTCGATGGAGGAGGAGGAGCAGGAGCAGGAGCAGGAGCAGGAGGAGCAGGAGGGCGAGGAAGGGGAGGAGGAGGTGGAGGAGGAGCGCCAGGAGGAGAAGGACACACATCAGGAGGAGGGGGTCGAGGAACAGGGAGATGTCGCCGAACCCCCCCCTCGCGGAGGCTGCCACAGCAGCGCTGGCGCACGGCGTCAGCGGTCTGTTCGCGGCTTTTGCTGGCCCTTTCGACAGTGAGCCCGAGGCCCGCTGGATCGCGGCTCTGGCGGATGCCATGTCCGAGGTGATGCCGTGTCAGAGGGCGGATTGGCTGGGCCAGATTGCAGCCAAGACGCGTTCACGATGTTGCATTGCACGCCTCCTGTTCGAATGCCCCGAGAAGCAGCGTCGTCAGGATGATAATGTTGAGCAGGAGAGAGGGGGAGAACGGGGGAGCAGGGGCAAGAGGATGCTGGAGCAGGTGGATGGGGTGGACCAAGGATAATGCAGGATGCATCAACGATTCTGCAGTACATATTTCCGTCCCGAGTACACTCATACGTTCTACAGGCATTCCTTATGTATTGCATACGGGTAGCGCCCCCTTGAATGGCGAGCTCCATATTGGCTTGCTGTGAAGCCAAGGGCCGATCATTAGCCGAGAACTTGTGCGAAATCCTGGATATCGAGTTCTAGGTATTGAGGACGCGTCTTGTAAGAGATGGTTGTGGTGAACATGGTTATGGTGGTGGAGATGGCGATGACGTCGACGCGTATGATGTTGATGGCGAGGCGTACGATGCTGATGATGGTGATGCTGATGATGATAATGTTGATGATGGTGACGATGCAGGTGATGATGACACTGATGATGCTGTCGATCACGATGTCGATGACGATGTCGATGCCGAGTATGATGATGATGCTGATACGTATGATGATGTTGATGTTGATGCTCATGATGATGGGGATGGGAATGGGGATGGGGATGGTGATCATGATAAATATGCTGCTGCTGATGGTGATGATGGTGACGACGATGATGATGATGACGATGATGATGCTGATGACGATTTCGATGATGGTGATGATCATTAGGGTACATGTATCAATATGATGCTGGTGGCGGTGGTACGAATAGTCAGAATGATGATGGTGCTGGTGATTGTGATGATGATGATGAACGTGATGATGATGATGATGATGATGATGGTGGTTATGATGATGATGCGGATGACGACGATGCTGATGATGATGGTGATGGTGATGATGATGCTGCTGATGATGATGATGATGATGATAGTGATGGTGATGATGGTGGTGGTGGTTATGATGATGATGCTGATGACGACGATGATGATGGTGTTGCTGATGGTGATGGTGATGGCGATGTTGTTGCTGATGATGATGACGATGTTGATGATGATGCTGATGATGATGCGGATGAATATGATGATGATGATGATGATGATGATGATGATGATGATGAGAAGGAGGAGGAGGAGGAGGAGGAGGAAAAGGAGGAGGACGAGGAGGATGGAGGGGAGGATGAGGATTCTGATGAGGATGAGGATCTGCCCTCCCCCCTGCCCCACCCTCCCCCCTGATACATCCCCTTCCCTCCCCTCTCCCGATGCGTCTTGACGTTCGCCCCCCGAGACGAGGCGCGGGGGGGGGAACATGTAGGGGCCTCGGGGCAGGAGGAGGAAAAGGAGGAGGAGGAGGAATAGGAGGAGGAGCAGGAGGAGAAGGACGAGGAGGACGATGAGGTGGACCACTGGTACACCCAAGACGCATGACAGGTGATGCAATATACCCTCGCTCCAAGTTCCCTCGTCATAGGTCCCCGCAATAATTCATGTTCATTGCGGGAGGCGCCCCGTTGAATGACAAATGTCTGAGAATGCCCAGTCGTATCAACTGGGCAGTCTGGGCCTGCAACGCCGCGAAGCAACGTGCTGCTTGTTGCGTCCTGACAATTCTAAGTTGTGCCGGAGCGCCAGGCGCGGGACCTCAACACCGCGAATCAACGCGACTCTTGCGCCCTGACAATCGTATTTCTTAGCAGACAGAGCAGTAGTCCTGGGACTTCAACCCTATGTTCGCAGTCTTTTGAAACGACTGTGCGCGGCGCTAAGGCGAGAGCTACATTTTGAAAAGGAACCGCCTTCCATCCTTGAAACTGCTGCAAACTTTTGAGACACATGCGCGCGGTGCCATGCCGATAACCTCGTTTTGAACACCAGCCGCCATCCATACCTGAACAAGTCTTCCAAATTTCAAGCTTCGGGACCGTGCATACATGGTGAGGAAGTCTCAGGCGAAACGCCCGGCCCTCCCTACCGACGCGTCTGGGGGTGCGACACGGGGGAGTTAGTCATAATCACAAAGTATGGAGGAGGAGGAGGAGGGGGAGGAGGAGGAGGAGAAGTATCGGGAGCAGGAAGAGTAGAAGGCGGAGGAGGAGGAGGCGGAGGAGGAAGAGGTGGAAGGGAGGAGGAGGAAGAGGTGGAAGGGAAATGCGAGGATGAGGATCGGTACGGTTTTTCTTGTGTCGCCATCAGCCTCACGATTCTTCTCTGTCTGACTCCTGCTCGTCGGGAAGAGGAGGAGGAGGAGGAGGAGGAGGAGGAGGAGGAGGAGGAGGAGGAGGAGGAGGAGGAGGAGCGCGGCCGGCGCGGCGGCGGCGGCCTCTTCGGCGCGGAGGCGTCTGCGGCGGCGCCGCCGCTGGCGGCAGCTGGGCCATTCGACGGCGAGCCCGAGGCCTGGAAGGAGGAGGAGGAGGAGGCGGAGGAGGAGGAGGCGGGGGTGGGGAATAAAGATGAGGACGGTAGGATGACGAGGAGGGTGAGTTGAGACAAGGGTAGTTCGCCCTGGGGGGGGCCCTCGTCGCCACGGTTGGACACAGCTCGGAAAACTGGTGCGTTTGGACTCCAGGAGGGGTCCAGGGGCAGATTTTGAGTTGCCTTTGTGTCAATTCGCCCTGCTGCGATAGGAGGACGAAGGGGAGGGGCAGGAGGGGGGTGAGAGGGAGGAGTAGTGAGGAGGGATGGGGGAGGAGGGGGGTGGATGAAGCGGAGTTCGATGGAGGAGAAGGAGGAGGAGCAGGAGCAGGAGCAGGAGCAGGAGCAGGAGGAGGAGGAGCAGAAGGGCGAGGAGGGGGAGGAGGAGGAGGAGGAGGAGGAGGCGGAGGAGGAGGTGGAGGAGGAGCGCCAGGAGGAGAAGGACACACATCAGGAGGAGGGGGTCGAGGAACAGGGGGATGTCGCCGAAGCCCCTCGCGCGGAGGCTGCCACGGCAGCGCCGGCGCACGACGTCACCGGCCTGTTCGGCGCAGAGCCAGCCCCCGCACCGCCGCCGGTCGCGGCTCCTGCTGGCCCTTTCGACAGTGAGCCCGAGGCCCGCTGGATCGCGGCTCTGGCGGATGCCATGTCCGAGGGGATGCCGTGTCAGAGGGCGGGTTGGTTGGGCCAGAGTGCAGCCAAGACGCGTTCACGATGTTGCATTGCACGCCTCCTGTTCGAATGCCCCGAGAAGCAGCGTCGTAAGGATGATAATGTTGAGCAGGAGAGAGGGGGAAAACGGGGGAGCAGGGGCAAGAGGATGCTGGAGCAGGTGGATGGGGTGGGCCAAGGATAACGCAGGATGCATCAACGATTCTGCGGTACACCTTTCCGTCCCGAGTACACTCATACGTTCTACAGTCATTCATTATTTATTGCATACGGGTAGCGCCCCCTTGAATGGTGAGCTCCATATTGGTTTGCTATGAAGCCAAGGGCCGATCATTAGCCGAGAACTTGTGCGAAATCCTGGATATCGAGTTCTAGGTATTGAGGACGTGTCTTGTAAGATATGGTTGTGGTGAACATGGTTATGGTGGTGTAGATGGCGATGGCGTCGATGCGTATGATGTTGAGGGCGAGGTGTACGATGCTGGTGATGATGGTAATGCTGATGATGATGATGATGATGATGGTGATGATAATGCTGAGGATGATGATGACCATGCAGATAATGATGACACTGGTGATGCTGACGATGCCGATTATGATGATGATGTTGATACGTATGATGATGTTGATGTTGATGCTGATGATGATGGGGATGGGAATGGGGATGGGGATGGTGATTGTGATGCAGATGTTGCTGCTGATGGTGATGCAGGTGACTACGATGATGATGATGTTGACGATGATGATGCTGATGACGATGTCGATGATGGTGATGACCGTTAGGGTACATGTATGAATATGATGATGTTTGCGGTGATACGAATAGTCATAATGATGATGGTGATGGTGACTGTGATGATGATGCTGCTGGTGGTGATTATGACGATGGTGAAGATGCTGATGATGATGCAGATGATGATGATGATGATGATGATGATGATGATGATGGTCATGGTGATGATGATGATTGTGGTGGTGGTGGTGGTTATGCTGATGATGACGATGATAATGATGATGATGATGATGATGATGATGTTGGTGCTGATGATGATGATGCTGATGATGATGATGATGTTGATGGTGATGGTGATGGTGATGGTGATGGTGATGGTGACTGTGATGATGATGCTGATGATGATGATGATGCTGATGATGAGAAGGAGGATGACGAGGAGGATGGAGGGGAGGATGATGATTCTGATGAGGATGAGGATCTGCCCTCCCCCCTGCCCCACCCTCCCCCCTGATACATCCTCTTCCCTCCCCTCTCCCGATGCGTCTTGACGTTCGCCCCCCGAGACGAGGCGCGGGGGGGGGGGGGGAACATGTAGGGGTCTCGGGGCAGGAGGAGGAAAAGGAGGAGGATGAATACGAGGATGAGCAGGAGGAGAAGGACGAGGAGGAGGAGGAGGTGGACCACTGGTACACCCAAGACGAATGACAGGTGATGCAGTACACCCTCGCTCCACGCTCCCTCGTCATAGGTCCCCGCAATGATTCATGTTCATTGCGGGAGGCGCCCCGTTGAATGACAAATGTCTGAGAATGCCCAGTCGTATCAACTGGGCAGTCTGGGCCTGCAACGCCGCGAAGCAACGTGCTGCTTGTTGCGTCCTGACAATTCTAAGTTATGCCAGAGCGCCAGGCGCGGGACCTCAACACCGCGAATCAACGCGACTCTTGCGCCCTGACAGTCGTATTTCTTAGCAGACAGAGCAGTAGTCCTGGGACTTCAACCCTATGTTTGCAGTCTTTTGAAACGACTGTGCGCGGCGCTAAGGCGAGAGCTATATTTTGAACACCAGCCGCCATCCATACCTGAACAAGTCTTCCAAATTTCAAGCTTCGGGATCGTGCATACATGGTGAGGAGGTCTCAGGCGAAACGCCCGGCCCTCCCTACCGACGCGTCTGGGGGTGCGACACGGGGGAGTTAGTCATAATCACAAAGTATGGAGGAGGAGGAGGAGGGGGAGGAGGAGGAGGATAAGTATCGGGAGCAGGAAGAGTAGAAGGCGGAGGAGGAGGAGGCGGAGGAGGAAGCGGTGGAAGGGAGGAGGAGGAAGAGGTGGAAGGGAAATACGAGGATGAGGATCGGGAAGGTTTTTCCTGTGAGGCCATCAGCCTCACGGTTCTTATCTGTCTGACTGCTGCTCGTCGGGAGGAGGAGGAGGAGGAGGAGGAGGAGGAGGAGGAGGAGGAGGAGGAGGAGGAGAAGGAGCGCGGCCGTCGCGGCGGCGGCGGCCTCTTCGGCGCGGAGGCGTCTGCGGCGGCGCCGCCGCCGGCGGCAGCTGGGCCATTCGACGGCGAGCCCGAGGCCTGGAAGGAGGAGGAGGAGGAGGAGGAGGAAGAGGCGGAGGTGGGGAATAAAGATGAGTACGGTAGGATGACGAGGAGGGTGAGTTGAGACAAGGGTAGTTCGCCCTGGGGGGGGCCCTCGTCGCCACGGTTGGACACAGCTCGGAAAACTGGTGCGTTTGGACTCCAGGAGGGGTCCAGGGGCAGATTTTGAGTTACCTTTGTGTCAATTCGCCCTGCTGCGATAGGAGGACGAAGGGGAGGGGCAGGAGGGGGGTGAGAGGGAGGAGTAGTGAGGAGGGATGGGGGAGGAGGGGGGTGGATGAAGCGGAGTTCGATGGAGGAGAAGGAGGAGGAGCAGGAGCAGGAGCAGGAGCAGGAGCAGGAGGAGGAGGAGCAGAAGGGCGAGGAGGGGGAGGAGGAGGAGGAGGAGGAGGAGGCGGAGGAGGAGGTGGAGGAGGAGCGCCAGGAGGAGAAGGACACACATCAGGAGGAGGGGGTCGAGGAACAGGGGGATGTCGCCGAAGCCCCTCGCGCGGAGGCTGCCACGGCAGCGCCAGCGCACGGCGTCAACGGCCTGTTCGGCGCAGAGCCAGCCCCCGCACCGCCGCCGGTCGCGGCTCCTGCTGGCCCTTTCGACAGTGAGCCCGAGGCCCGCTGGATCGCGGCTCTGGCGGATGCCATGTCCGAGGGGATGCCGTGTCAGAGGGCGGGTTGGCTGGGCCAGAGTGCAGCCAAGACGCGTTCACGATGTTGCATTGCACGCCTCCTGTTCGAATGCCCCGAGAAGCAGCGTCGTAAGGATGATAATGTTGAGCAGGAGAGAGGGGGAAAACGGGGGAGCAGGGGCAAGAGGATGCTGGAGCAGGTGGATGGGGTGGGCCAAGGATAACGCAGGATGCATCAACGATTCTGCAGTACATCTTTCCGTCCCGAGTACACTCATACGTTCTACAGTCATTCATTATTTATTGCATACGGGTAGCGCCCCCTTGAATGGCGAGCTCCATATTGGTTTGCTATGAAGCCAAGGGCCGATCATTAGCCGAGAACTTGTGCGACATCCTGGATATCGAGTTCTAGGTATTGAGGACGTGTCTTGTAAGATATGGTTGTGGTGAACATGGTGATGGTGGTGGAGATGGCGATGGCGTCAATGCGTATGCCTCTGAGGGCGAGGTGTACGATGCGGGTGATGATGGTAATGCTGATGATGATGCTGATGATGATGATGATGATGATGCTGATGATGCTGGTGATGATGGCCATGCAGATAATGATGCCACTGATGATGCTGACGATGTCGATGGCGATGCCGATGCCGATTCTGATGATGATGTTGATACGTATGATGATGTTGATGCTGATGATGATGATGATGATGGGGATGGGAATGGGGATGGTGATTGTGATGTAGATGCTGCTGATGATGGTGATGCTGGTGACTACGATGATGATGATGATGATGATGTTGACGATGATGATGCTGAAGACGATGTCGATGATGGTGATGACCGTTAGGGTACATGTATGAATATGATGCTGCTTGCGGTGATACTGATAGTCATAATGATGATTGTGATGGTGACTGTGATGATGATTATGCTGGTGATGATGATGACGATGGTGAAGATGCTGATGATGATGAAAATGATACGGCTGATGATGATGATGATGATTGTGGTGGTGGTTATGATTATGATGATGATGATGATGACGATGCTGATGTTGATGATGATGATGATGATGATGGTGACGGTGATGGTGATGGTGACTGTGATGATGATGGTGCTGATGATGATGATGCTGATGATGAGAATGAGGATGACGAGGAGGATGGAGGGGAGGATGATGATTCTGATGAGGGTGAGGATCTGCCCTCCCCCCTGCCCCGCCCTCTGCCCCTGATACATCCTCTTCCCTCCCCTTTCCCGATGCGTCTTGACGCTCGCCCCCCGAGACGAGGCGCGGGGGGGGGAACATGTAGGGGCCTCGGGGCAGGAGGAGGAAAAGGAGGAGGAGGAGGAGGAATAGGAGGAGGAGCAGGAGGAGAAGGACGAGGAGGAGGAGGAGGTGGACCACTGGTACACCCAAGACGCATGACAGGTGATGCAATACACCCTCGCTCCAAGCTCCCTCGTCATAGGTCCCCGCAATGATTCATGTTCATTGCGGGAGGCGCCCCGTTGAATGACAAATGTCTGAGAATGCCTAGTCGTATCAACTGGGCAGTCTGGGCCTGCAACGCCGCGAAGCAACGTGCTGCTTGTTGCGTCCTGACAATTCTAAGTTGTGCCAGGGCGCCAGGCGCGGGACCTCAACACCGCGAATCAACGTGACTCTTGCGCCCTGACAATCGTATTTCTTAGCAAACAGAGCAGTAGTCCTGGGACTTCAACCCTATGTTCGCAGTCTTTTGAAACGACTGTGCGCGGCGCTAAGGCGAGAGCTACATTTTGAAAAGGAACCGCCTTCCACCCTTGAAACTGCTGCAAACTTTTGAGACACATGCGCGCGGTGCCATGGCGATAACGTCGTTTTGAACACCAGCCGCCATCCATACCTGAACAAGTCTTCCAAATTTCAAGCTTCGGGATCGTGCATACATGGTGAGGAAGTCTCAGGCGAAACGCCCGGCCCTCCCTACCGACGCGTCTGGGGGTGCGACAGGGGGGAGTTAGTCATACTCAGAAAGTATGGAGGAGGAGGAAGAGGAGGAGGAGGAGGAGGAGGAGAAGTATCGGGAGCAGGAGGAGTAGAAGGAGGAGGAGGAGGAAGAGGAGGAGGAGGCGGAGGAGGAGGAGGAGGCGGAGGAGGAAGAGGTGGAAGGGAGGAGGAGGAGGAAGAGGTGGAAGGGAAATACGAGGATGAGGATCGGGAAGGTTTTCCTCACGAATATTCTCTGTCTGACTGCTGCTCGTTGAGAGGAGGAGGAGGAGGAGGAGGAGGAGGAGGAGGAGGAGGAGGAGGAGCGCGGCCGGCGCGGCGGCGGCGGCCTCTTCGGCGCGGAGGCGTCTGCGGCGGCGCCGCCGCCGGCGGCAGCTGGGCCATTCGACGGCGAGCCCGAGGCCTGGAAGGAGGAGGAGGAGGAGGAGGAGGACGAGGCGGAGGTGGAGGTGGGGAATGAAGAGGAGGACGGTAGGATGACGAAGAGGGTGAGTTGAGACAAGGGTAGTTCGCCCTGGGGGGGCCCCTCGTCGCCACGGTTGGACACAGCTCGGAAAACTGGTGCGTTTGGACTCCAGGAGGGGTCCAGGGGCAGATTTTGAGTTGCCTTTGTCTCAATTCGCCCTGCTGCGATAGGAGGACGAGGGGGAGGGGCAGGAGGGGGGTGAGAGGGAGGAGTAGTGAAGAGGGATGGGGGATAGGAGCGGGCGGACGAAGCGGAGTTCGATGGATGAGGAGGAGGAGGAGCAGGAGCAGGAGCAGGAGCAGGAGCAGGAGCAAGAGCAAGAGCAGGAGGGGCAGGTGAACGAAGAAGGAGTAGGCAGAGGAGGGCGCAGGAATGTGTAGAACGGTGGGTAAGCAGGTGGAAGGCAGCAAACCGGAGGAGGAGCAGCAGCAGAAGGATAAGCTCGATGGGCATCCTTTCCATCCTTCCATCCTGGCAGCTATATGGGCTGTCTGACTGTACGTAGGGCCCGTTTGTGTAAGGAGCTGTCGTTCACGCGCGTAGCTGTTGCACACGTCCAGGTCTCCTATGGTTAAACCATGCAAAGTCTAGACCGAGCGAGCGCATTGTGTGCAAAGCATTGCAGATATTGCAATGGAGTTCAAGGAAGTCGCAAGCGATAGCCCCACACTGAAAGAGTGGCGCGCTTCATTTTCGTGGAACCGCCCTCAATGCGAATGTACGCACAGCTATTGCGAGAGCCCTGCTTTCAAAAACGCGGGGCTAATCGAGAGGCTCGTTTTGGCAAGAAGGCTTCATTCATCCGTGCAGCTGCCGCGAGCTTTTCGAACGGATGCTCGCATCGCCATGATGAGAGCTCCACTTGATGATTGATCTGCCCTCCATCCGTGTTGCACGTGCGAAACGTGTGATCCACCTTGTCAACGCGCCCTGTGGTGAGACGCGGAGCAGATGTTTGTAGGAAGATGCGTGAGGGAAGACGAGGGCGGAAGAGGGTGAGGCGGATGGGCAGTAGTAGGAGCAGGAGGAGGAGCAGGGGGAGCAGGATGAGGAGGCGAAGGATGACGAGGAGGAGCAGGCAATGGAAGAGGATGAGGCAGACGGAACCGCGGACGCCCTTTCGCGCAGGCCACGGGCGATTTCGGTTGCAGCGACTCGCGGCGACCCCCAGCCAGGGCGGCCACTCGCGCTCTGATCGCGACTGAGGAGGCCGAGGGATCTGCAAAGAAAGGAAGAGGAGGAGGATGAAGAGGGGGGAGCGTCGGGGAGGAAGGGTGCGGGTGGGGGGGCGAGGGAGGGGGGGGGGAAATGGTGATGATGAGGAGGAGGAAGACAAGACACAGTTAGTGGAGGAGAATCAGGATCATGGAGCACGATGGTGATGGTGGTGATGACGATGCTGGTTCTGAAGCTGATGGCGATGACGTGTATGATACTGTTGCTGCAACAGTTGATGACACTATCTAGTTACACCGGCGATCATGACGCTGCTGATTATGTCAGTGGTGGTGATTATGGGGGCGAGGATGACGATTAGCCGAGATGGTTGTACTGTATTTTGATGGTGATGGTGGTGATGGTGATGGTGGTGATGATGGTGATGGTGACGATGCGAAGACGATGGTGATGACGATGGTGATGATGTTGATGGTGGTGGTGGTGGCGGCGATTAGGACGATGGTGATGTTGATGATGATAACGACGATGGTGCTGACGATGCTGATGTGGATAATGATGCCGGTCTGATGATGATACTATATGGGTGATGATGAGTATGATGATGCTGGTGACGATATTGCTCACCGTGGTGGCAATGATGCTGCTGAACATGATCATGATGATGTCGATGCCGATGGTGATGATGATGATGATGATGATGATGATGATGATGATGATGATGATGATGATGAATATGTTGATTCAGATGACGATGACACTGTTTATGATGGCGATAATGATGATGATTATCCTGATCATGGTGATGATGCTGCTGATGACGGTTATGATGATGGTAGTGTGTTTGGGATATGCGTAGGGCGGGGGTATTATCACCCCTAGGCAAAGCGATCAGGAGGACATGGCGTATAGGAAGGATGATATCGTTCTGAGTGAAAAGTCAGGTGGCGGGTGGTAGTGAAGAGGAGGAAGGCGGGACGGAGGGCTTGGGGGAGCAGGATGAGTAGGGTGATGGGGGGGAGGACAGGAGGTCCAGTGTAAACCCAATATTCATCAATGATGTTGGAGTAAACCCTCCCTCCAAGCTCCCTCTTCATAGGCCCCTACAGCGGTTCATTTCCACTGAGGAAACTGCTTCGTTGGAAGACAACCATTTGAAGACCGCGAAGCATGCCAAAACGTTGTTCGCGGGATTTCAACACCATGGATCAACTCGATTGTTGCGATTTGGCGCCACTGAGCCGTCCCAGAATGCCATTCTTGGGAGTTCAACACCGCGAACCTATGTAACTGTTACGCCCTCGTAATCCAGACTCCGTCCAAAACACCGTTTCTGATGCGTTGACCATGGGGATCCATGAAATTCGTGCAACTAAACGAGCTTACGCGGCGCTAAGGCGAGAACCGCATGTTGAAAACGGCCAGCCTTCAACCCGTGAAATTCTTGCAGTATTGAAGCGAATGTGCTCGGCGCTAACGCGATATCCACATTTTGAAAACCGCCCGCCCCCGCTGTCCTTGCAATTGTTTTTCAAATTTCATACGTGCACTGAAACATCGTCGGATTTCACAGCGCGCGGCGCCAAATCCGCGATCCATTCCTGGTGGGCGCGGGTCGCCACCCAAATTTGGCTTCGTCGCGCCCCATGTTTTGGGGTTGCAGCACGCTGCCAACGACGTTTGCGCGACGCCCCATTTTTGGCACGTTGCGCACCATTTTTCGCAAGGCCGGAAGTAGGACCAATTTTTTGAGGGCGCTGAGCATCACGGTTGTTCGGCGCGGAGCCGGCCGCCGCGCAGCCGCTGGCCGCGGCAGTCGCTGGCTGGCCCTCCTCGACGGGGGGGAAGAGACTTGCCAGGAGGAACCCGGGGGCGAGGGCGAAATCGCGGAGGACGGGGACGAGGAGTCGGCGGAGGAGGAGGATATGAGACAGAAGGAGGATGAGCAGGAGGAGGAGTATCAGGACCAGGATCAGGGCCGCAGGATCGCAGTCACTGGCGGAGGAGGAGGAAGAAAAGGCGGAGGACGAGGAGGAGGAGGAGGAGGAGGAGGAGGAGGACATGTCCGAAAAGGACGAGGAGGCGGATGAGCACGAGGACGAAGACGAAGTCGTGGAAGAGGACGAGGACGAGCAGGAGTCTTCTTTGGATCCCGCGGCTGATCGATGGTCATTGGGGAGGTTTGGATTGCGTTGCCAGGCGGCGCAGGGGGACGACAGGGGCGCCTTTGCGTGGCCAGGCCTCCTCGCCGCTTGGTGCGCTGGGGGCCTTTTCTGGCGTTGAGCTGCTGTGCTGCAGTTGATCGGCCTGGCGAGGCGCCTCGCTCGATCCGGTCAAGGTTTCATGTGCCCGCTGTGCCCAGCGGGCGACATTCGAAGAAGAGTCCGTCGAGACATCGGCGGCCCTCTCTGGATGCTTCGTCTCTGTGGTCCTCCTGGTGTTTTGTCGTTGCCCAACGTCGAAAGCCGGGCCAGAACGGACCACGACAGGGGCCCAGTCCAGGGTCCAGGATTTGGGCCAGGCGGGAGAGCTGCCTTAGTTTCAATTGGATTGCGTCCGGGTCGAGATTTCATGTGCCCGCCTGGCCAAACAGTCTCCGCTTCGAGCGCGCAGGCGCAGCCGCAACACCTGAAATGTAAGATCGGTATCTCCACACGGGCCACCACGTGGTGGATCTCATTCACGTTTTTTCCCTGAAAGTTGAACATCTACATTGCCAGTGACGAGCTGTTTTTCAATCCCAGCACTTTCTGAGGGTCGGGGGCGACGTCGGGGTGACTTGGTGTATATGTGTCCGTTTCCAGGAGAAACGGCGAACATGTATACACCAGGGGTCCGTATACACCAGGATCAGCTTTCTTTTGCAAGTGTCAGTGCGGTGCTGGAAAAGCGTCAGTGTATATCATTTGTTTCCTTTTTTGTGCCCTCGATATGCAACCGCTGGTGAGCTACAAGGACAGGACCCGCTGGTACACGGGAGCCTGTGGGGACGGGCAGAGGATTGCAGAGCGTCGCTAAGCATTTCAACGCAGATTGGCACGGCCTCCAACGCTGCCAAAACAAGCCGAATCTTCAGCCAGGACCCCTTGACTCCCTGCGTGAATTATCGAAAACGTCGAGCGTGTCTGTTTACCCTCTGGGCCGTAACGCGCGTTATGTCCCCTACCCTGCCCCCCCCCCCTCCCCCCCTCTCCCCCCCCATAACGTAATGCTCCCCCCCATCAGTGCGTCCCCGGCACTGCCGCAGTGCGTCCAGCACCACAGTCTGGGGGGGGGAGCGCTGCGTTATGCCCCCTCCCGTCCCCCCCATAAAGCCCGTTATGCCCGCGAATAAAAAATGCGCTCCTACGGCGAACCACCGCCGTCCTTTGCATTTTGGAAACGTCCATGCGGCCAAACGTCGGGCCAGAGTCTGGCCAAGCTACTGAACTAGGTGATCCCCGGCCCGTTGCGGAAATTTGTGGGGTGAAAGCGTAGGGGAAGGACGCGAGAGGACGGAAAGGACGAGAGGATGGAGATGTGTACCCCCCACCCAATGTGTCACCTTTTGAGGGAACACTTTGGAGGAAGAGCTAGAGGAACACGAGAGAAAGAGAGAGAGAAAGAGAGAGAAAGTCTGAAAGAGAAAGAGAGAGAGAGAGAGAGAGAATAGTATGAGAAGGAGAAGAGGGAGCTGATGAGAAGGAGGCCTCCTGCGGCCTCACTGCGGCCTCTAGAGGCCATCTATAACCGTCTTGCAGCCATTTGGGTCCGTCTCGGAGTCCATCTTGGGTAGGAGGAGGCGGCGGAGGCGGAGGAGGAGGAGGGGGGAGGGGGATGAGCAGGGGGGTGAGGAAAACCAGGAAGAGCAGGAGAAGACCAGGGAACGCCCGCGCAGGGCGTCAGCGGCCTGTTCGACGCGGAGCTGGCTCCTTTGCCGGCACCCACAACAGTGGCAGCGGGCCCCTTTGACGGGGAGCTGGAGGCCTGCTGGGACAATCTGGGGTCAGGGGCGAGCGCAGCGGCGCGCGCATGTACCCCGTAATCATTTATCTCAGGGGATTCTTAGCAAAAGCACTTCTTAGATCAGCGAATGTGTACCGCATATTTGTTTGGTTGCATGAAATGGTGGGGGCATGTCGATACCGGCCGGGCTGGCATGCTGTACTCGTTTTTTTAAGATGGGCGGTCGTGCATAGCATATAGGATAATATCAATACACGAAGCGGGCCGTTAAGTCCGGTCTCGGGAGGGGTGTAGTCCTTAGAATACGATGTTTGGTAAAAGTGATGTGGCGCTATCCCGGCGCCGCAGTCTATGTAATTCGGACATTTGTTTGTTTTATTTCGGCGAGGAACGGTCGTTATTTGGCCACCTCCCGGAGTGAGAGTATCTATCGTGCGTAGGAGCGTGGGGTTTCCCCCCCATGTAACCAATGTTGTCGGAATTAGCACAAACAATCTCTAGCGGGAGGACGAGGACGAGGGTCCGCCACAAAAAAAATGCAGACACCCTCCACTGGATTGTTCCTGGGCCTCAGAGGAGGGTGGTGGTGTATAAATCACCACTGAGAGCCAGCGATTTCATACACGGGGAGGCACGTACACGCAAAATTCGTCAGAGGATGTCTGTGTACATATTTGGGTGGCGTAGAGGGTGAGAGTGGGAGGGAACACACATCTCGCTCCAGCGCCTTGGCAGGGCGTCGCTGGCCTCTTCGGCGCGGAGCAGGCCGCCACGCCCGCGCCTGCCGCGGCAGCTGCCAGCTTTTTCGACGGGGAGCTGGAGGCCTGTGGGGACGGGCGATCCGCGCGGTTTTTTGGCGATCCGCGCGGATTCTTTGGATCCGCACTGGGCCCTGCCCCCGGCGGCGCCTCCGGCGCCGCCCCTGGCGCGCTCCGCGCGCCAGGGAGGGGGGTCCAGCGCAGATCCAAGAAATCCGCCCGGAGCGCCAACAGTTTATTCCCCACATGTTTCGTGGGGTTCTGATCTTCTTCTCTGCCGCGTCGCACCCGCGTCTTCTCCTCCTCTTCCTCCTCCTCCTCCTCCTCCTCCTCCTCCCTTGTCCCTCTTCCTTCTTCCCCTCACCCACATGCAACACCTGCACGGCACGTACATGAGACACGCGTAGTTATACATACAGCCACACGCATGCACATACTCGCACACACATCACACATGACAGTGCACACCTAGCGTGTTCACTGCATGCAATATACAGTCAAGACGCGCGCACCACATGCTGGGCATCCACACGGGAGACACACGATACAACCGCACACGCATCATACACATGACACGCACACCACATATCACAGAAACGCCATACGCGCAATATTCGCACGGCGTGGCAGGCGTGGCAGGTGTGCTGCATCATACACCCAATATGGCAGGAGGCTCTATGCGCGCCATGGCACAGGGCACGGCAGGCGTGGCACTTTCTCCACACCACCGGGGGTGCGCAGGGGGTGGTCTCTGAGCGCGGTCTCCATCCGTCCCAGGGTCGCGGGGCGTGGCAGGCATGGTATGTTTTTTAAACCACAGGGGGTGCGCATGGGGGTGGTCTCTGAGCGCGGTCTCTATCCGTCCAGGGTCGCGGGGCGTGGCAGGCGTGGCCGACGGTGCTTCGGAGGTGCCTGTGCAGGCACCCAGCTCGAGTACTCGAGTTGTGTCGGAGCCCCCTCAGCAGGAGATGAGGCAGGGACCCCAACAGATACGACAGGACACCCCTTTTTTCCTGGCGAGACGCCGCCAGGATGAGTCGGACAGTTCAGATTGAGTTTTCTGTGGCGCAGGCCTCCGTTGGATTTTTCGCCATTCCGTTGTCGATTTGATTGCACGGCCCGATGCGACTGACCCTTTTGGCAGGCATCCGTGCTAAACCCCACATCTGGGGCGAGACTGGCAGTCGTCCTGGCGCTGTTTGCACCAGGGGCTTCTGGCCTCGTCGTCCTTGTGTGGGTGGTCGAGTTTTCCCATTGGCGAGGGTTCGCCGTCTCTTTTTATTTCATCAGCACGGCCCGATGCGGCTGACCTTCTTGGCAGGCATCCGTGCTTTACCCCACATCTGGGGCGAGTCCGACTGTCGTCCTGGCGCTTGCTGCACCAGGGACTGTGGGCTCGTCGTCGTTTTGTGGGTGGTCGAATATTTTTTCTTTGGTTTGGTTGAGTGCTGTCTCGTTGTGCGTGCGTCCGTCGTGCACGCGTGTCAGGCACCCCATTTCTGGGGGAAGGTGCGAGCACATCTTGTGTGCACTTCTTCCTGTTCCGAGCACGGGGGTGTCTTCATCCTGACAGTGGTTCGGCTGGTGTTGCTGTGGCCTTGAGCTTAGGTTCTGGGCCCCAACATCTCTTTTTTGATGGAGTTGGGCGTGCGTCCTCGTGCGTATGTGCGTTGCGCGTCCCACCGTCCCTGCCCTCCACCTCTTGGGGCCATCGTGGCTCTCGTGGCAGGGCGCTGTCTCGACCGTTGTCCCTCTTTCACAGCCGAATGCAGTCTTTTCGAGAGAGCCTTCCATTTGCAGTTGCCCTGCATTTGGATGCTTTTGCGCTCGCAGCTCGGTGTCCGCCTGCGGCCCTGTGTGCCTGCCCCCTCTCTTAGAGATGTTGCGGCAGGTGCACATTGAGCTTGGGCACCTGGACGCAGAGGCCCTTTCGGCCTCTCGAGCTGTCTCACTTGCGCTGATGACTCAGGCTTTTGGCTTGGGTCAAGGTGCCAGCATCCCCCTCCGCTGCTGGCCCGTTTCCTTGGTCAATCCAAGGTTTTGGAGGCGTTGGCGCTGATGTCAAAACATTTCCCTGTGACGTACCCAACCCATTTGTATCAATGGAGACGAGGAGTTGGCCGAAACTTGTATGGACAATCAACTTGATGTGTAAGCTACTTGGGGGGCGTCACTGCGCTGGGCCCCGCAAGGAGGCCTCGAACGTGGCGACATTTTCACAGATCGCAGCCCCCCAGGGATGGCGAGGTCACATTTCAGTCCGCGGTGGGTACCCACTGTGCTGGGCCCCCCCAGCAGGCATCGAAAGTGGCGACAGCTCCACAGATCGCAGCCCCCCAGGGATGGCGAGGTACAGTTTCAACCCGCCGTGGGTACCCACTGTGCTGGGCCCCCCAGCAGCCCTTGAAAGTGGCGACAGTTTCACAGATCGCAGCCCCCCAGGGATGGCGATGTCCCTTGAGTCCGTCGTGGGTACCCACTGTGCTGGGCCCCCCAGCAGGCCGCGAAAGTGGCGATAGTTTCACAGATCGCAGCCCCCCAGGGATGGCGAGGTCCAGTTTCAATCCGCAGTGGGTACCCACTGTGCTGGGCCCCCCCAGCAGGCCGCGAAAGTGGCGATGAAAGTTTCACAGATCGCAGCCCCCCAGGGATGGCGAGGTCTAATTGGAGTCCGCGGTGTGTACCCACTGTGCTGGGCCCCCCCAGCAGGCCTCGAAGGTGGCGACCGTTTCACAGATCGCAGCCCCCCAAGGATGGCGAGGTCCAATTTCAGTCCGCGGTGTGTACCCACTGTGCTGGGCCCCCCAGCAGGCTTCGAAAGTGACGACAGTTTCACAGATCGCGGCCCCCCAGGGATGGCGATGTCAAATTTCAATCCGATGTGTGTGCCCATTGTGCTGGGCCCCCCAGCGGGCCTCGAAAGTGGCGACAGCTTCACAGATCGCAGCCCCCCAGGGATGGCGAGGTCTAATTTCAATCCGCGGTGGCCACTGTGCTGGGCCCCCCAGCAGCCTCGAAAAACAGATCAGCAGATCGCAGCCCCCCAAGGATGGCGAGGTCTAATTTGGGTCCGCGGTGTGTACCCACTGTGCTGGGCCCCCCAGCAGGCCTCGAAAGTGACGACAGTTTCACAGATCGCAGCCCCCCAAGGATGGCGAGGCACAATTTCAATCCGCGGTGTGTACCCACTGTGCTCCCCCCCCCCCCCCCCCCCCAGCAGGCATCGAAAGTGGCGACAGCTCCACAGATCGCAGCCCCCCAGGGATGGCGAGGTACAGTTTCAACCCGCCGTGTGTACCCACTGTGCTGGGCCCCCCAACAGGCCTCGACAGTGGCTACAGTTTCACAGATCGCAGCCCCCCAGGGATGTCCGCCGTGGGTACCCACTGTGCTGGGCCCCCCCAGCAGGCGTCGAAAGTGGCGACAGTTTCACAGATCGCGGCCCCCCAGGGATGGCGAGGTACAATTTCAATCCGCCGTGTGTGCCCACAGTGCTGGGCCCCCCAGCAGGCATCGAACGTGGCGACAGCTTCACAGATCGCAGCACCCCAGGGATGGCGAGGTCTAATCTGGGCCCCCGTGCGACGTCACTCCGTGCCCCCCCCCCCCCCCTCCAGCAGCCTTCGAAAGTGGCGACAGCTTCACTGATCGCAGCCCCCCAGCGATGGCGAGGTCTAATATGAGTCCCCGTAAGACGTCACTGTGCTGGGCCCCCCACAGCCCTCGAAAGTGGCGACAGTTTCAGGATCGCAGCCCCCCAGCGATGGCGAGGTCTAATCTGAGTCCCCGTAAGACGTCACTGTGCTGGGCCCCCCGCAGCCCTCGAAAGTGGCGACAGTTTCACAGATCGCAGCCCCCCAGGGATGGCGAGGTCTAATCTGAGTCCCCGTAAGACGTCACTCCGCTGCCCCCCCCAGCAGCCCTCGAAAGTGGCGACAGTTTCACGGATCGCAGCCCCCCAGCGATGGCGAGGTCTAATCTGAGTCCCCGTAAGACGTCACTGTGCTGGGCCCCCCAGCAGCCCTCGAAAGTGGCGACAGTTTCACAGATCGCAGCCCCCCAGAGATGGCGAGGTCTAGTCTGAGTCCCCGTAGGGCGCCACTCCGCTAGGCACCCCAGCAACCTTCGAAAGTGGCGACAGTTTCACAGATCGCAGCCCCCCCAGGGATGGCGAGGTCTAATCTGAGTCCCCGTAGGGCGTCACTCCGCTGGAACCCCCAGCAGCCCTCGAAAGTGGTGACAGTTTCACAGATCGCAGCCCCACCAGGGATGGCGAGGTCTAATCTGAGTCCCCGTAGGGCGTCACTCCGCTGGGCACCCCAGCAGCCCCCGAAAGTGGCAACAGTTCCACAGATCGCAGCCCCCCCAGAGATGGCGAGGTCTCATCTGAGCCCCCGTAGGGCGTCACTCCGCTGGGCCCCCCAGCAGCCTTCGAAAGTGGCGACCGTTTCACAGATCGCAGCCCCACCAGGGATGGCGAGGTCTCATCTGGGCCCCCGTAGGGCGTCACTCCGCTCGGCACCCCAGCAACCACCGAAAGTGGCGACAGTTTCGCAGATCGCAGCCCCACAAAGAGATGGCGTAAAAGGCAAGAGAGAAGAAGAGGAGCGAAGAGAGGAGAGAAGGGAAACAAGAGAGGAGACGAGGAGATATGAGAGGAGAAGGGTAGCACAGAGATGAGAGGAGAAGGGGGGGACAAGAGAGGAGAGAGGAGGATCGAAGAGAGGAGGCGGGAGGCGGGAGGAACGGAGGAGAAGAGGAGAGGTAAGAGCAAGAGAAGAGAGGAGGAGGAGGCGGGAGGAGGCGGGAGGAGGAGGAGGAAGGTGGAGACCACAGTGCTCTATTCAAAACGAGTACCCAACGCACGAGGGTTGGGAACAATTACCCTGGCGACGTACCCAACCCCTGCGCAAAAGCGGGGCGCAAATAGTTTAGGATACTTTATAAGGGGGCGATGACGGAGCGAGGGTTACATATGTCTGCAGACGGAATTCGGGAGACTCGCAGGACACTGGCTACAGGAAAAGGGCTTGATAAAGCTGATGATTTACAATTCCTGAGCAC